CTACAGTAGCATCACTGTATGTGCTGCACTGTCAAAACTGCTGTGGAAGTGCTTGCAAGGAGAAAGTCTGCAGAAGAGAAGCAGTGAGAAAAGTGCTGGACAGAAAGAGATAATGGAGGGTGAGCGCGGAGCATGAGGTCAGGAGAAAAAAGTTGGACCCTGTCCTCTCACACACATACATCAGTAATTACCGGGAGATTGTTTTGAGCAGGTAAATGTCAGCAAGCATGAAAAGCTTTTAGATGTTTAGGTGGCAGGACTTTTTATTTCTGCGATGCGCACCGACGTCATTAAAGTTTTTACTATGAAAGATGTATAATTGGAGGCCATTTTAATCAAGAGTACAAAAGAATTCAATAAAATCAAACAGAATAGAATAGAGCCATTCGAGCCACCCCATGCCAGATTGTGAATGAAGCTTATTAGTATGAATGGGGTTAATTTGGGGCCAATGAAATAGCTAATCCCAGGCTGATCCCTTTGTTACCAGCCTGAGCTCCACTTCTGTCTTTCTCTCGCTCTCTCGCTCTCTTTTTTGGCTCTCTGTCCAACTCACGTGGAGCCGTACCAGCATGGAGGGAAGGGGAGGACTGGGGAGGGCTGGGGAGGGCTGGGGAGGGCTGGTTTGAGTGACACGATCTGTGCATCAGAGAGGATCAGGTCTCTGGGGAGGTGAATCAGGCCTGGAGCTCATCCAGGATGGCACACACACACACAGAGCTTAGTAGAAATTGCTTGCGTCATGGTTTCTTGGTAACTGGCATGGGACAGTGAGGGTGTTTTTCCATAACAGCTTCTGATGTGTGACAATAAGGAAAGAAAAATAAAGTTTGCTCAAAAATATATGTGTAATCTGGTGTCATGCATGAAAGTGGATGATCTCAAGTTTCATGCCTGTGTGTGTGTGTGTGCGTGTGTGTGTGTGAGGCCTCTGTTGATAGCAGTGGGAATCTCAGGTGTCACCTCCAGCAGCGAGGCATCTCCAATTTCCCGTTTTGTTGTTCAAAACTGAACTCTTTACCCTTTAAACTCTTTAGAACTGCTCATGAAGAAAACACCTTTTTGTCTCAAAATTCAAAACATTTTTGAAAATCATTAATCATTTGGTGTTCAGCAACAAGAAGAACAAAAAAAGGCAGAAAGTTAATGTCTGTTTATAACGGAACTTATTTATATATCAGTGTAGACAAAGACTATTTTATCATATAACATACCTATTGCCCTTTTTCACTGAGTGAAATCATTCTTAATCCAATGTGAATTTAACTCTTATTAAACATGTGTAATTATGAACATATTTGCTGTATGTCCTGATTGTTAAACCGAGCTTAAAATGGATACGTATCTTGTCTTCTATGTTGCCTTTATTTTTTTACTGTTTGTCTCCCCCTGCAGGGCGACTGCAGGAACTACATCCGACTGTTGGAGTTCCTGGGAGATGGTCGCATCTATGTGTGCGGCACCTATGCTTTCGACCCTCAGTGTGCCTTCTTGGTGAGTGCGTCCATGCGCTTGTAGTTTAGCGACTGATGCACGATAATGACCTCTGACCCCGCTCAAACAGACAGACATACAGACAGGCGAGCCACAATATGGTTACATAATGGGTTTGAGTTTGCACATGCAGCATTAATGAGTGCAGATGGATCTCCCACACTTGTACCCATAATGCGATTATACACCACCTGCAGTGAGGTCTAAAGACTTTTCCAGGCTTCAGCAACACCTTCTCACAGCATCTATTTTTAGGAGTGTAGCTGTTCCCCAAATCCACAAATTAAAATTTAACTGATGTGAAAACAGATGATTCTAAAAAAAGAGAGAAAGAGAGGACATGACATAATTATTTGATCATGACTGAATTGTGAAATAAAAATAAACCTCATTATTGTGATGCATCATAATATACTGCAGTTGCACCTTGAATATCTGTTGACAGTATTATACCTTTAAAGAAGAGGCTAAATTGGGGAACACATTCATTCACAGACTTGGAAATACACCAACATTTTAATAGCAACTGTGGAGTGCAAAAGCAAGATTAAAGAGATACTTGATTCTTTTTGTGGGTGTCTGAACATGTCATGATATTGCATTTTTATTTTTATTTTTGCATAGTACTAAGCCTTTTAAGCACAGGAGATCATAATGAATGAATTATGAATGAAGCAGTGTAAGTTGCCAAAAAGCAATCTGTACGAGATCAGACAGAAAAGCCTGTAATTAATTAGGAAATATAAGTCCTTTGTTTCTGTTCTCTGCAGAATGCCACTACCTTTACTCTGGAAGAAGTTGATGGAGTGGTGAGGATGGAGTCAGGGAAGGGAAAGTGTCCTTTTGAGCCTAGTCAGCATTACACAGCTATTATGGCAGGTAAGTACCACTGTGTGTGATTGACTGATTAAGTTTCCTGGTCAAAATGAAATTTTTAAACAAGAGTTTTTAAGCTCTCCTGATATCTTTATATAAAATAAACGCTGTCCTTTCTCTCATTGTTTTTGCCTTTTAGATGGTCTCCTTTACACAGCAGCTACCAGCAACTTCCTGGGAACACTCTTCGACATCTCCCGGGCAACGGGCCCTGAGCAGGAGCGCATCCGAACTGAACGATCCATCAACTGGCTCAGCGGTAAGAGACACGTTTGCCCACAGTCACACATGCTGACCCCACACTTTCCCACAAGGATAATTAGAACTGTGTGTCTGCGGGTGTTTTTTCTCTCAGACCCAGAATTTGTCAGCTCCGCTTTCATAGAGCAGTCCGCAGGAAACCCGACAGGAGACGATGACAAAATCTACTTCTTCTTTAACGAGGTGGCCAAAGAATATGACTTCTACACCAAAGTCAAAGTACCCAGGGTGGCCCGGGTCTGCAAGGTAACCCACCTTCTTGACTGAATCATTGATCCCTATATATGATTGAATCCCTGTTAAGATTAACTCTGTCTGTTCAGTCTGATGTGGGAGGGATGAAGACTCTGCAGCGACGTTGGACCACCTTTCTCAAGGCTCAGCTGGTGTGCGAGGACAAGCCCAGCGGCCAGCGCTATAACGTCCTAACTGATGTTTTCACCATGCAACATATTCCAGGCGACCCCAGCAGCACACACTTCTATGGACTGTTCACCTCCCAGTGGTAAGCCAAAGAGTAACCAGGGGCAAGAGGCCAGAGCAGAGCCTTGGTCATACGAGATATTGTAATACTGGAAATGTAGTTTCTTGCTGTTGTCTTCTGCTGTTGTAGACAAATATAGATGATCTATATTTGCAATACAGGCTCATTCACAATTTTCAATTGCATGATATAAAAAGTATAAATAAGCATGAAGCTGTTTACTTGCTGTAGCTTCATGCTTATTTTCCAAAAAAAAGATGTGATTTTACTCTTTTTCAAAAATGAACTTTTTCCTTCCATACTTAGCATCATGCTAAACATTTTTTTCCCTTTCACACAGGGAGCAAGTAGACCTGTCGGCCGTGTGTGTTTTCAGCCTGTCTGACATCAGCAAAGTGTTGGATGGTCCGTTTAAAGAGCTGAAGAAAAGCTGCGACAACTGGATCAATCATGAGCCGATCCCCTCACCGCGGCCTGGCCAGGTATTAGACTGTACTTTCACATTTTCGATGATTTACGCTGCTTTCCTGAATGAAAATATGGCAGCCCGCAAACATCACTGATGATTTATGGTTGTTGTAGAAGATTTTACAATCTAAATAATGCTTGGTGTACACTGAACAATCTGAAATCCACATCCTTTTTAAAGTTTAGAAAGGAGGAGACATTATGTGAATTTCTCTAGTGGATGTTTTGGAATCATTTCTTTGATCCAAGGCGTAACTTGTTTGGTCCAACATTTTTTTATCCTGCCAAAAATACTTGATCTGTTTGGCATTTAAAACTGAGGTTAAATGATGTTTGTTCTCTTTTATTAGCAACGTGTCCTTCTGGATATGATCCAAAGATACTCTTTTACTCTGACCTTTTCCCAAAAGGTCAGAGTAACACTTAAAAACACAGTTCCTTTAATCTGTGAGAAGTTAGTGAATATGTTTGGTGTACATATATTTATTTTAACAGTTATATTTAACAGGGTGGCACACATGTTCAAAAGTACAGTTAATTTTAGCCATCTATTCAAGATGATTTCAAGTACCTGCTGATTTTCAATCCTCTGTTCAGATTTTAGTTCCACAAATCTTCATCCAGTGCATTTATAATGTGAACTCTGATGAGGCGGATGTATAGACTTTACAACATTTGGTTTTGCAAGAGTTCTCAGCTGTATATATTAAAAAACAATAGATGAAAATAAATTCCAGGCTAAATTTATACCTTAGTTATTTCTATAAACTTGATATCTTCACATTTTAAAGGAGGCACATATGAAATATTGTGAAGCCCTCTGGAAGTTCAAACTTTAAATGTACCATGCATGCTTTTTTTATGACTTTACTACCATAAATTACTAAGACACACCCTTTCCTTTCTTTATAATAGTGTTTAAACAGTGCATTAAAGGCTGAGGGCTTTGAGTCCTCCCTAAAACTTCCTGACAAGGTGCTGACATTTGTGAGAGACCACCCTCTGATGGAGAACAGTGTGACTGCAGCATCCCTGCTGGTTCGAAAGGGAATCAGTTACACCAAACTGGCTGTAAATCTGAAGGACGGCAGCGAGGAGCGGAGGGCAGCAGTGCTGTATCTAGGAACAGGTGAGAGATCAGACAATAGAGACGACAGAAGGATATAGAAATTGTAGTGCATTTAAAATTGTAGTTAACGGAGGCAGCTCCCTAAAGCTGAACTAAAATAAAGATAATGGTCCTGAATGCAAAATTGATAAAAGCCTAAAATTTCACAAGTTGTATTAGAAGTTGTGACTTAAATGTGAAATACAGAAATAAATAAATATTACAAAAATGTGTTGCAGACCGTGGGGAACTCCACCAGGTGGCAGTAGTGGGCCAGAATGTCACCTTACTGCAGGAGACTCCTCTGTTCACATCACAGGAACCTGTTAACAATATATTGTTGCACAAGGTAGAGCGCACGTGTACATACACATACTATAAGCACAGCCGTGCTTCGTTCCATTTCTCAGCGATTCTGCAACTGTTCTCCGTGTTTCCAGGGCCACGCTCTGGTGGGCAGCCCTCTGTCTCTGGCTTGTGTCCAAGCTGAAGGCTGCGCTCTGTATCGCAGCTGTGAGGTGTGCGCCAGAGCCAGAGGACTGGGCTGTGTGTGGAGCACAAAGGAGGAAGCCTGCAAGCCAACAACAGAAGAGTGAGTACTACAGGAATATCACAGTGAATTGGAAATTTTCCAGAAAAATGGAAATGAAAGGCAGGCAGCAGCTGTATAAGGTTATAAAATACCACAGTGACCCATTTATATTCCAGCAGTACTTT